TTCTAGTTTCAACAACTCATTTCTTCATTTTTTTTTCATCTGCTTTGTATGAGAAGCAATAATTTTTTTTTTCTTTCTCTACTATCCTTAGATCATAAAAACAGTCAACAATTTGGTTTAAATCATTATTTTGTCTTATTCACCTTGATGATTTTTTTAATTTTGATTACATGGGTTTGAAGTTGATGTGGTTGTGTGATGTGAAGGGTAATGGCTATTATGAGATGGTTTATTGTTTCTGCACCATTTCCGTATCTTTTTTTCTTACTTTTCTTTAAAAATAATTTTATTTTTAATTTCTTCTATTTTTTAAAAGTGGTTAGATTTGTTTTATTTAAGAATATTATTTCAATTTTTTTTTGTTTTTCTATTCAACTACTTTTCTAGTTTCAACAACTCATTTATTTGTTTTGCCAGCTTTGTCTAAGAAGCAAATAAAACTTTTTTCTTTCTCTGCTATCCTTAGATCATAAGGACAGTCAACAATTTGGTTTAAATCATTATTTTATCTTATTCACCTTGATGATTTTTTTAATTTTAATTATATGGGTTTGAGGTTGATGTGATTGTGTGATGTGAAGGGTAATGGCTATTATGAGATGGTTTATTGTTTCTGCACTATTTCCATATCTTTATTTTTTCTTTTTTTTAAAAAGATTAATTTTAATTTCTGCTATTTTTAAAGTGGTTAGATTTGTTTTATTTAAGAATATTTTTAATTTTTTTTTTATTTTTCTATTCAACTTCTTTTCCTTTCAAGTCTTTTATTTATATTTATATGTATATGCTATTTGGTGAGATGTTATTCCTCACAAGTATGTACAAGAACACACACACACACAAAAGACATTATGAGGGTGAGATGGCTATTCCTCACCATTATACATGAAATGTATATGCATATACTATATTATAGGTGAGATGGTTATTCCCATGAAGTTTGGTGATTTGTTTGTTGCTTTTAGGAATGTTGGGATTGATTGATTGGTAGTTGTTGCATGATTGTCTGACTTATTGATGAAGCATAGAAAAACTATTTTATGTAGCATGAAGAATTTGTAGAAGTGGATGTTTGAAGTTTTGAACATTTGGATGCATGTACATTTATTTTATCATTGAAGGTCCTTTGTGAAAAACTCTTATATGCCTTTGCTTCCCTTTCGCACACTTTGTTATTTATACCCTCATTGAGTCAATGGAAGACTCACCCTTCTTCTTACATTTTTTTCCAGATGAGACAAACGTTGAAAGTACCTATGGTGGTTAACTATACTTCATAGGCATATGGAGTATATGGTAAATAGTCAATATATCTTATGAGATCATGTGATGTCATGACTACTATAAGAGTATTAGAGTCAAAGTTGTGATATTGATAATGAAATAGTGATTTTTTTTTGTTATCTCATTTTAGAATCTAATCTATCTATATATATAAAAGTAGAATCGCAAGCTTATGTCCAGTGACACCATGTGTCTTTTTATATTTTTATGTTTTTTTTTCAAAAATAAATAAAACAACCTCACTTCCACATATCTCATGCCACATGTCCTTTATATTTTTATATTTCATTGTTTTTTCAAAAATAAATAAAACTACCTCACTTCCACATGTCTCTCCATTATCCCACATATCTCTCCACTATCTCTTCAATTACTTCTAAAAATATTTTTGAAAAGATAATAACTACAATACTTTTAAAACTAACCAAAACTACTTCCCTTTATCTCTTATTTTTCTCTCCTTTATTTTCATTTATCTCTAATATTCTCCCCCACTATCCCTTTCATTATCATAACTTCCACGTTAACATTGATTTTTTTAAAAATAAATTTAAACATATATAAAAGTAAAGCCACAAGCTTAGGTCTAGTAATGCCATGTGTCATACTCATATATTTTAAATATAAAACTACGTCAACCTCGAATTTAAATATAAAACTGTCTCGCCTTCAAATATATCTTCATTATTCCCACCCTCCATAAAATTATTCATAATTTATTTATATTTTCAAATTTCTAATTTAAAAATTGTAAAACTCTCCCATAGATTGTGGCTTTCGTGAACGCTTCAAGCAATTGTCATAAAGCACTCTTTCCCAGTTGTAGTCTTCCTCAACATGCTCCATCTGAGAGTTATTGTTATTTTTGTAACCCAAAATCCCTCTCCTAAATTTCTTTAACTTGCATATCAATCTAGCTAGATATCACTTTCGGTTGTTGGAGATAATATTGACTTCAATACTCAAAATAAATCTCCAAAGGTTGGTGACATTATTCCATTTTTTCTTTAGGACTTGTCTTCGTTTTATCCCTTCTCTTTCGCAAATTCTTTTTTACCACGAGAGAAAGAGGCCAAGAAAAATTAGTGTATTGTCAAGAACTAACCTTTTTTGGTCAATCTTTTTTACATTCTTATATTTTGGCAGTTTGGGAGATGGTGCTGATGATAGAAATGGATTACTATTGCCGACTATGATATATAGAGGAAAACGAAAGGCATGAATCATGTATGGGAAATGAAATGATTATACATAAAGTTTGGTCTACTTACAAATTATAAATAAATTTTGTGTTTCATTCTTCAAAATTTGAACAATGTATACGAGAGATCAACCTCAGTTACTTCAAATAATATAAATCTAAACGAGGTATAAATCTGCCTTGAACACTTAATGTTTTAAAAAGTGTAGTTGCAGATGCTTTGGATCCTTTTACGAGGTAAATCTCAACGAGGGTCACTTGCAGTAATCACATTAGAAACCTCTAGCTTTAATAGCTTAGGCTCTCTTTTTGTTTTTTAATTCAACTAATGCTCTCTTTAATTAATCCACAAGTTATTTCTTATGCTTGCAGGTCACGGTCGACCCTGATGCACATATCCCAATCGACCCAAGTGAAGCTACGGCTGAGTCTTCCCTGATCTCACTTGTTTTTTCTTTTTCTTCTTCTTAGTCATTGGTTTCTGAAATTGATCATATAATATAGAGAGAGAATAGCTAAAATATTGCTTTCTAGCTTATTAATTGTTCATACTTCGATTCAAATTTTTATTATAAACTATCTCTCTCTCTCTCTCTTTATATATGTATGTATGTATGTATGTATAGTGAGTTTAGTTATGGATATTTGTGCGTACAGGTTAGTAACTAAATATTCGAATGACTACAACACCAAGCTTTCGGTAACTGTAAATACACAATATATAATATGCTTTTCTTTTCTACCTTTTTTATATGGCATGCATTTTTTTACCCGCAGTTCCATGGCATGTATTTAGTTTGTAAGGGATATTTCATGAAAATAGGAGTATATTAATATGAATCTGTTGAATTTATTGTGGGGATTTTTATTTCTTTACTTACATTTACTTTTTTGTTTATTATAGTAATTATGGGCCTGTTTGGTTTTTATTCTCAATTTTTGTTTTTAAAAACAATTTTGTAATACACTTTTTAAAATTATTTTTAAAATAAAATGAAATAAAAATGTATTTGGTTATGTCAATTTAAAAACAGTTTTAAAATTAAAAAATAGATTGATGGTGATGATTATAGGCAGTTAATGGATAATTAATAATAAAAATTGGTCAAGATAATTATAATTTTCAATAATTAAATGTACTGTGTTTTAAAAACAAAAAAATAACCTTGATTATAAATAAACTTCAATAACCTTGATTATCTTGGCCAAAAAAACCTTGATTACTAATAATCTTATTGGTTAATATTTCAATTTACTTTATGTAAATATATTGCCATCCATCCTAGTTAAAATTCTAAAATTATTTTACTTTAAGTTACAAAAATCCCCCCTCCCAGTCATTAATTTTTTTTAAAATTTTTACTTTTATGGGTACAATGCTAATTATCACAATTTCTCAACTTCTTATTCACAACTTTAAATTTTAATCTTAAATTTTTTTTAAAATTTCAAACATCATAACTTTTCTACCCCAAATTCAGTTTATGAAATTAATTTTTTAATTCTTAATTATAATTTAACTATGAAATGTGAATATATTATTTATAATTTAAATATATTTTACATTAGTTTTTAAATTAATTACATGGGAAGTTACGTGGGGATTTTTAAATCATTATTTTATTTAACCCACTATTACTATTGAAAAACACCAATTTTTAATTTTGAAGTGATTTGTCTTTAATGATAATATAAATTTGTAATTTAACTTATATATCTTACTCTTGTTTATTTAAATCATTAGTTATTATTTTACACCCATGCATTGTACGAGACACATACTAGTTTGTTATGAATGGTGAAATGTTGAGTAAAGCAAAGTTGTATTTTATTGAGATATTTTGTGTAAGAGGTGTGTAATTGTGTGTTTAGGTTTGGTAGGTTGAGTGGAAGTAAATTAGCTTAGCCCATGCAACTGTCACAACTCATCTTTTTCTATCATAACAAACTCTCTATACAACAAAATAGCATACAAGAGCACTTATTTTGTTTTTTTTTTTGAACATTTTTTAAATGCTTTGAAAGCTAGTGCTCCCATAACTATGGGAGTGCTTTTGAAATGCTCTTGAAAGCCAACCTATGGGAGCTTTTCTTTGCAAAAATGCTCCCGAAGGCTGGCCTATGAGAGCTTTTCTATGGCATAAAAACCAGCCTTCAGGAGCTTTTCTATGGCATAAAAACTCTTCTAGGTGCTAGCCTATAGGAGCATTTTATTGCAAAAAAGCTCCCATAGTTCCCCACCTACAAGACCATTTTCCATTAGAAATGCTCTTATAGGGTTTTTTTAAAAAAAAAAAAAGAATTCATATTTACTATCCTCTTACTTTGCTTACGTCATTTGTAGGTAACCAATCTAGACAATCCAAAAACCATAATAAAATACTTGTTAAATTCATACACAACTTAATATATCATTGAACACTCTACAAAATTTATTAAAAAACTTTCCTTCAATGATAGAAATTCAAGGTAAATGGTCAATTAATTTAATTTTAAAGATACAACTCTAATTTGAACCAAATGCTTTCATTTACATACCAAAACTCTTATAATTAACGCTAAATTCTTCCATGTACATCCTCTAATTCTTTCATCTTGAAAGAGTGGGCATCATAATAATTTTACAACATATTTAGAGAGAAATAAATTTAAAATATCAGTCAAACAATTATTTAGAATAAATAAAATGATACCTATTTATAAACTTCTTTAGAGAGAAAGCTTCCCATATCCATTAGAGATAGATTTTTCATTCTCATTTTATGACAAACAGGCCCTCAATTCTTTTCAAGTTTCTTGTTGACTAAAACGAATGTAACGTAGGAAAGGAAGTAGCTGAATTAATGAGGTTCTAGAACTTTATTTGTTAATAGCCTCCAGACCTGCAAATAATGTGATATAGACAAGTTAATGTTGAATAGTTTGAGTGAAGTCGCCAACTTAATTTTCTAAGAATCTCAACTTTACAAATCAATCATTAGACTACACTTGAGCTTAAGCACAATCAAGTTATTTATCGGTAACATTAGAGCAAGCTGATAGAATTTTAATCTGATGAAATTGATCAGGGAATCGGCTTAGTAACATTAAATGTTAATGCAATTAATAGCAACTCAAATAATTCCAAATGAAGTTATATATACATGGTAAAATATATATATATATATATATAGGCATTTGTAGCATGCTAAAACTATAAGAACACATGCTAAACTCTAAAGTGAGATAAACAAAGAAGTTACCCTTTCTTCTCGTCTTATCCGCACCATTGACTAACAAAATTCTTGCAATATCTCTATTTTGGCTCTGAATAGCAACTTGCAATAGAGTCTAACTTTCCCAAAAGTTAAAATGTATAAAAGCCAAATATACACCGTAAGTGACCATCCAACAATAACACTGAAGTTAAAAAAATAGAACCAATTAAATGATGTAGAACAGTGAAAAAGGAGCAATTTAAAGTGTAACCCAGTGCTAGTTATCTACAAGAGAGATTTTTGAAAGAATAAAGTGTAGCAGTCCATTCAAACAAAGTAAACATGCTAAAATCACTCCCAAATGCTAGATAATAAAAACAATTTATGTTTAGATTTGTTATCTATCATAATTTTGAACCTTACTGCATGCCTGGATATGTATTTTTTTTTAATAACTATATCTTAACAAAGATCACTAAAAAAATCAAAAGGACAAAACTCTGCATAAAGTCTGATGCAAAACAAAAATTATAATGTTTAAAAAAGCTTCCAGAAACTTAAGAGACGTAAGGAAGGGGGACTGTTCTTAGAACTCAAACAGGATTAACTGACATTAAAAAAAAAAAAAAAAAAAGATGTTCTCCCTTGTCTTTGTCAGCCAAAGAAAAAGATGTTATTAGCTGAGGTGCAAATAAGAACAACAAATTCATACAGCAAGAAGCGGAGGCTTCCCCTTTTCTTTATCAGGAAAAAAAAAAAAGAGTGTAAAATGAGTTGCTGCTTTCTCCAGAGAGAATGAAAGCCACAAAACACCGGAACTTGAAGAAGATTTGAACTAAGTTCAAAGAAAATAGATAGATAAACACCTTGGATCTTCATGGACATTTTCAGTTTCAGCCACATAACTAACACCTTGTTGGGCATAGAACCTCAACAAATGCATCTTTAATGAAAGGGTTTGAAGCTGCTAGTCGCTGAGATGTCAAGTGAAAATCTTTACCAGACCTATTGCACAGAACATCAGATTTTGATCAGAACAAACCTTCAAAGACAAGCATGCTAATTCTTTAAGAGAAGGTGGAAATCTAACTCAATCAATATATAAATATAAACTATTTAAAAGTTTGAACAAGGTGACTTCAGATTTCCTTTTTGACTTGTTGGATCTGAATTGTGACTTCCAGAGTGTCCATTCTCCCGAGCAATTTCCTTTGAAATATCTCTCTCATAAATCTTGGCTATTGTATATCTGGCAGCCAGGCCACCTAAAGAATGACCTATAAATGAAATTTTCTACAACACTTAGGTGACGCTTTATAACTGATATGACCTGGGAAAAGAAAAAAGAGGGGTGGAAAATTTTTGGATTGTTACAGCAGATTCATAAACCCAAAACTTCGTTGAAACATTACAGATTGAACAGAGTAAACCATATAAATTACAACTTTTGGACAAAAACATGAAATTACAAACAATTTGGTTAGTTCCTAATGAAATTCGAGATGCAAAGAAAGGAATACAAGCTGTTTAGTGCCATGTTCATAGCTCACCTCCTCAGCTTGTCTCTCTCCCATTACATCAATACCATCAAATGTCAACATAGAAGATTACATTCACTGCCTGCATTACACAATGGTACACGCATTCTATTTCATGATGAAATAAACCAAATCATCTTGTGATGGAATAATGGGAGAAAGATTATACGGACTTACAGTGTACAATAATATCATATGGTTGCCTTATGAGAAACTGCTTTACAGAAAATTTCCAATCCTGAGCACTGCGATAAAATAACAGAGGTTAAGCAAAAGCTCATGACTGTTATCTGATGTCAACAACTAGAATGAATAAACTGCAAGAACATCGCCACGAACAATGCACCATAAAATCTTGGAAGAGGCATGAAAGTGGATAATGATCAACCAAACAGACCTGGAACAAGGACGAACAGACTTCACTGCCACAGGTAATGGAAGAATAGATCTGGTTTGATGGATGTGGCGATGAACTGAAGCGCGGACTTGAGGCGAAGGGAATCAAGACAGGCTTGAGGCGATGGTGCGGCATCTTCGAGCGGATGGTACGACAGCTTCGTAGATATCTTCGGAGAGAGGGAGGGAAACGAGTTTAGGGCTGTGTTTTGCTGAAGGGGGGAATGAAATTGAAGGGTTGCGCATATATTTTTTTAAAATAAAAACCTACAAGAGCCTTCTTACCTATGAAAGCTCCTGTAGGTTCTATTGTTTTTTTTAAAAAAATAACTCTCCTATGAGAACATTTTGGGCCCTGAAAGGCTCTAAAGACTTATCGGAGCGTTTTTAACAAGAAACATTCCAATGAGTTCCGCGTCATGCCTTTGGAGCATTTTTTAAATAAAAATGCTTTGATAAAGGTGCTCCAATAGCTATTTTCTGTATAGTGTCTCTTACTATTTTAATAGTCCTTTTAATCAATTTAGCTTTAGGATTCTAACTCTTTGAGAATTATAATCTTGGTTGAGTCTGCAGTATACTATAATAATAAACTTAGTTAATTTGAGGCTAATGGACTAAGATTTATTATTCTCTAAGACTTGTTTTATGTCATCATTGCTCTCCTAGGCTATACCCGTTCCTCTTGGCCTATTGATGAAATTTGGGATAATGATTACTTAGAATATTAGAATTTATCTAAGATATTAAAAATATTCATTAGGGATAAAGATATTTATCCATTAAAATCATAATTTATAATTTATTTTATTATTATTATATATCATTATCTTTAAGATTATATTTAGATTTATAATTTGAAATTTAAATTTAAATTAATATGATTTAAGGGATAAGTTTTACATTTATATCATGATTTCTTATGTTTTATTTTTGTGATTACTCATATAAGGAGTGTTGAAAGTATTTTGGCACCCCACCTTGACTTGCTCAACATTCACAATATCATGAGAGCTACAAATGAATAACTATTGAAAATCAACACAATTATGGGTATGCGTACAACAAATGTGATGATATGAAACACGTTGTAGAACTGAATATGAAATGCAAAGGCTGAGGATGTAATAACCCAAAACTTTAAGGATAAATAATAAATAAAAATAGAATAACAATATTATGTTTTCAGTATTTTTTATTATAACATATTCAAGCTGCCAAGAAGGAGCTGGCCGCGTGAACACTGCGAGCCATCTATCTAATAGGTCTTGAGTTCGAAAGTCAAGGAGGCAAGGTAGATAACTTATTTTAGCTTCAGCCTCTCCCAAATTTACCATTTTGCCCCTCTTCCATCTGATATTTTTTTCTTCTCCTCCTCCTTTTTCGTTGAAGTGAGCAGAGGTCCAGAAGCTTCAGAACTGAGTGGCCAAAAACTCCTCTGATCCGTCCTCTTCCTTTTTCTTTTTCCGACGTTGCCGGTGTAGATGCTGTTGCTGCTTCGTCCTTCGCTGTTCTGCTAGGCCGAGGCTTCCTCTTCCTACCTCATCTTAGCTCGCATAGGGACTGTGAGGAGCAAGGAAAAAGAAAATTCTGGTGCTCAAGAAGTTCTGAATCCTCGATCCAGCCACCTCAGACCTCCGCCGTTCAACACGCCGTCGACGGGAGTAGGGACTCCGCCTGCCGCTACTGGGGCGCTGCTGAGATCTGTTCGTTCTTCCCTGCTCTGTGCTTGCCGTGAACCACTGTATTGTGGTACAGATCGTGAGTCTTCTTTCTCTTCTCTCCGCTTTCAGCCATGAGTTTTGTCTTCTTCTCTGTTTCATGAACTGCTATTGTCGAGTATAAGAGTCAGACATTTCTCTCCTCTTGTTTATCTCTGCTCTGTTGTTACTACTGCGCAGCGAGAAGCTTTGGGCTCTTCTTCTCTTTGAAATTCTGTGTGTGCGTGTGTGCGTATGTGTGTGTGTGGATGTATTAGGGGTTTGAAGTTTGTTGAATCTGTGCGTATGTATAATGAATGGTTCAAGTTGCAGATTTTTTTTTTTTTTTTCCTGAAAATCTGCTGCTACCGTGCTGTGTAGGGAGATGGAAAGGGAAATTAAGCTATACATTTATATTAAAGTTTGATTATATATATGGGTTAGAATTTTGAGCTAATTGATTTTTATTTGGGCTAGTTTAGGCTGAAGAATTGGTTAAAATGAGATTAGGATAGAAGAACTTAGACATGAAACATAGAGATTATTACCTATAAGATATTTGTAAAATGCTTGTTAGAAGAAATTGAACTTAATTTTGAATATTTTTTGAAATTTTATTAATTCTTGTAAAAAGTATAATTAGCTTAAATGTCATTAATCAATGAAAATTAATTTGAAAGTTGAAAAGGAGATTTGACCATGAAATCAATAACTTATGATTAATTGAATTTTTGGAGGTGGATAGTTCATTGATGAAATATTTGAAAGCTAGGGTCTTTTTGAGTGTGGTTAGAAATGATAAATAATACATACATACATAATATATATATGTTGGTGTCTTAGCAAAATGCAAATGAGGAATTTAAAAAAAATGTAAAGCCTTGATCTTTTTTTTTTCAAGTTTTAAATATATTATAGTTTGATAATGGTAGTGATGAGATTGAAAAGGAACTATTATATTAGTTGAAAATTCAATAAAAATTTTATTATGATTTTATAGTATGTTTGGAGGAAGAAACAATTCGATTGAAATGATAAGAGGGAAAAACTTTGAATTTTGGAACATTTTAGCTACTTGTGTTAATTAAATTGTTTTTATTTCTTGGAGTCATGACCTATACATTTCAGATTGACAAAAATGCTTTTTACAAATTCTAACTAACAGTCTTTTATTTGATAAAACCAACTATGAAAATGGTGAAGTTTACGAAATATTAGTTATAAATTTTCATATTTAGAAAGTTAATATTTTTATATGTTTCATGTGAATTTGATTGATGAAGAAGAGAAATATATTTTTCAAAATGTAATTTTCTTGCATGTCGAAAGTGAATTTAAGAAGGGACTTTATTCAAAATACTGGTTGCTAACAGCAATCCTGTTAGCCTTAGTTGCGCCATGATCAATGACTAGTTAGTTTAATTTTCATAAGCTTTATTGTCACATCTATTTTTTGTGGATCTCATACCTGTATCTGTTTCGTGGCCTTGACTACGTCTGGTTAGTTATTCCCATGGACTATGTGTCCATGTCTATTTTGTGGCTTAGACCACGACTAGTTATTTACCCTCGTGAACTGTGTGTCCATGTTTGTTAATTGTTTTGACAAATTCCTATAAATATGAATTTGATTATTTGGTGATTTGATATGTCATTGGTTTGAATTAGTAATTTATTTATCATTAGTATTTATTCTTTTTTATTTATTTCATTTGTTTGCTTCTTTAAAGCAAATGATAGTGATATGAAAATTAAATGGTTCAAGATCTCATTTAAAGTCACATAGAATCCTCTTTATTTTAAAATTTATTAATTTTTATGAAAATTATTATCTCTTTAACTTGCATAATTATTCTAAATTTATCTTTCATTCATGTGCAATTATTCATTATTGGGATGTTATTCACTAGAAATAATTTTGGTTTCAGATAGTGTAGCTGACACTGAACCATCTGCTGAATATTGAGGAGCCTATTACTAACCAAAGGTGGACGAGCTAAGGATTAAGCTTTCTTTGATGTAAAATTTAATTATGACATTTTATTTTATAATGTATTTTTAGGGTGCTTCATGTAGATCATAGCTAAGTCTTTCATTTTTGTTTATTATTTTATTTCCCTGGTTGGAAGGAGCTTTGTTCCTAATTAATTTGATATTTGAATGAAATTTTTTATTGTAGAATTTTCGGAAGATCCTATTTACAGGAAAGGTTTGCCGAAATTTCTATAAAAAAAATTTGAAACTTCTATGATAGATGAAAATTATTAAAGGCATTAAAATTTCAATATAAGTATAATTATGTTTTTAAAAATAATTATTAA